GAGGACAGATGAATTTTTAGCCCTGTACAAACTGACTATTTCCTTGAGTGCATATATGCACATGTCAGTGCCGCGCTTTGGTTTGAAGCCAAACTGATTATCCAGAGAAGAGATGAACACACCAACTCTGTCAAACACAATCTCTGATCTGAGAGGTTTTGTGGTCAGCAGCAGCTCAGTCGGTGGTTCCAAGTTTTACACGAATGAGTCCTCAGTCTGTTGCTACAGCTTTAAAGACGATTGCCTATATTTTCCTAAGTGGCAGATGAGTTGGTATTTGTGTATGACAACATAATTTGTCCTTCTCGTACGTCAGCATTGTCATCAAACTCTGATGCCGTGGCATTGGAAGTATAACGTCTCCAAAGTTGTTGGCAGTTCGATTCAAGCAGAGGAGGGCACCGAGCCATGCGCTGGAGCTCTGCAGTGAGATTTTAATTTCTTTTCTTGATGTCTCGTCAGAATCCGTGGCCGTCGGATGGTGCAGCGTCTCGACGTACAATAACACAGAGCGCTGTTCTGCTCTGCTCTCAGAGAGTAATGAAATGGCTGCAACACCGACGTCTCATTTTGTTCGCACAAACCCGATTCTGCTCAGAGGAGACCGAGCAGCGGGGCGATGTGAAGCATTATCCCCCAGTTTAGTGCCCGAGAACTTCCCTGAGTCGTTGATGTTTATGCTGAAAGAAGATGCTTACAATTGGAGAGTCGTGTGAGTGGATCATTTTTCCCTTTAATAAAAAAAGTAGAGTTTAGCAGCTCAGCTATCACAAAGAGAAAACCGAGAGATTCAACTGAAGGTGTTTCAAAGGTAGAAATAACGCTCCATTATTTAACTTTAGTGTGTCTGAGGATGTGCACGCCCACATGCTTACACAATGATCCAGGGGAGCGGAGAGGAGCCAATCACAGAAAAGCCAGACTCAGCCTCCTGTGCTTTAGGCCTGGAAAGCCTTCATGGCGTTTTGCTCAGTCAGGTTAGGCAATGATTTGCTGGGCTCTGACTCGGGCCAGCGTTACTCAGACTTCAGTGTTGACCTCAGGCTTTTATGAACAATGTGTCACCTTAGGGTCCTCTGTGGTCACACTACCTCAAAAACCTGGTGTTGAGCTAAAGTACCAACCGATGCTTTTCAAATGACTTTTTAAAATTTTTGCAGCACATGTGTTTCAGTGATGCGGCTTTATTAGTTTCCCTCCATTAATCTCATTTTTCTGTTAATAATGTAGTTGTCTTATGTCTAATGATGACGAATGACCAGTTCAAGTGAGTTCAGTTTTATCTTATGGTTTCTTGATTACACTTATCAAAATCTTCTGGTGCAAAAGGAAGAAAAGAAGCTCAAATATTTCAACTTTGATTCTGAAGATCAGAGGCAGGAAGTTCTTTCTGCTCAGGGGTTAGGATCATGTTCAGCCTACAGAAGCAAGCGGACAGGTCGGGCTGAAATATACTGAACACCTTTCAAAGTGTTGACATCATGTAGTGACCAAATCACAGTCTGTGAACACATTTAAACATGAAAACACTCGTTTCACCATCCGTGTGTCTAAATCTTTTTTAATGTAAACAGTTATTGTTAAAGTGAGGTGCAGGAAGTGTTTGCATCCAAGGAAACTGACGTGTGACAGGATTACTGTCCGTGGAGCTAGAACCTTTACGGGTTTCCGTCATCTCGGGGTCATGTTAGCTAAACCTTGGAGTAGGGCCCGGTGCCTGAACGTCATCTCATCTTTGCTAATAATGATCCGACTCTTACGCCGTAGCACTCTAAGCCAGACTGATTACACTTGATGCTGCCTCACAGGGCCAATCAGAGCCCTCAGTTCATCATGTGATGCTTGATGGATTGTTCCTGTGAAGGAGTAATGCTGGCCCTGAGCTCTTATTGAATCTCCATTTTCTTTGTAAAGGACCCATACATAAGAAATGTCACACAAGCTTTTTTATCACATGCATACTAACAGTCTGCCACATGCAGACACATAGAAGGGAAATAGTTTTACTGAGCCATCCACAAATAGTCTCCACAAAGAGAGCAATTTATGAGAGCTAAGAAAATCCCAGCGTCAATTTAATTTAAACACTTTTGTGTTCCACGTTTTTCCTTGTCATTTAATTGTAATTATGTTGTTTCTGATTAGTCCATGAATGACTCATTAATAAAGTGTGTCTCGTCGTGCTCTGAACATCTTGCACACCCTGTTAGTAATTCCTGGTAATATTCCACGCCAGCTTCTCAGAGTCACTGAGGTCTGAGGCGCTCTGCCGTGTCTAACCTACCCGTCTTCCTCCCCGTTTCCCCTTCAGGCGCCTACGTGTGCAAGGGACGCTCAGGCTGGCTGATGCCGCTGGGAGAGGCTCTGTGGGAGAATGCAGAGCTCCAGCTGTGCATCCCGACGAAGTTTAAGAGAGCGCCCCCGCTGCCGCCCCCTCCCGGCTCTGCCACGTGCGCCCTGCTTTCAGAGATGCTCGCCTCAAACCCGGACGCCCGGCCGACGGCTGACCAGCTGGGGGCCAGGGTGCGCTCCGCTCTGAGAGAGGACTCCCACTGACACAGAGTACACTTGAAAGACTGTAATGGGCTGAACGACAGTAAGGAGCCCAGACTGCAGTTCGTCCTGTTTGTTTAAATAACGGGCACTTTGATGCCTCAGAGAGGAAGGGATGATAAATGTGTATGATTATCTGGGATTGCAGGTGCTAATTTTCTCCCTGAACCACAAGCTCAGCTTCTAAATCATGTGCAAAGCCATATAAAGGGTAAACAGGAATGAACTAGCAGATTCAGATATGGCTGAATTGGCATAAATAGGTTTGCTGCTCAGTGAGTCTTAAAGGTTTTTTAATTCCACATTATTATTATTATTATTATTAATTTAGCCTAGGTATGGCTCTACTGAGCTATAAGGACATAAAAGTAGTAGGCTTAAATCTGTAGCGTGGGTCGGACTACATAATGCTGTGTGTGCTGAAATAACTCTGTGATACTATTTTTGTGTCTAAGCTGTAATGTTTCAGTTTATGCTGTTATATATTTTCACAAAGGTGTGTGTGGACATGATTTTAATACTCAGTTTCACTCAAACGTTCTCACCTCAAATCTTCAGAACAAAACGTCTATTTATTCTTCTGTTTTAGTGAAATATAACCTTTGTATACGTCAGTTTACTTACTCTCAGAGGCACTTAGCGTCTTTTTTCCTGCCTGTGTGCATTCAAACATTAATATTTGAGTTTGTCATTTGTAAATATTTCTTCATCATTTCACGTGTTTGCTTTGAGTTAGTGACGCCGTCAGCCGTTTACAGGATTTTCAAACTTGTGTCATATCTGCTGCACAGCACAAGGCTCGCTGTGACGGACGGTCGCTAACGTCTCCTCCTGAACAGGAAATTAAAGCCAGGCATGTGGATTGTTGCTGATCATATCCACGCAGTGTTCACTCTGTTTATTAGTGATCATCAGTCTCAGTCACATGCGTGGATGAATGGAGATCGATTATAACATCAACTGTGTCCTAAATTTCTTGTTAATCTCATGTAATTTAAATAAAGATGGATTTATAACCTCTTTAATCAGTGGTAACGGGAATTTTTATTCATGTAAAATTCATGCTTGCAGTCTAGTTAAAGTCAACATTGACCTGTGGAATAAATGAACTCTTTGCTCAATAAGGCTGTTACACCGAGCGCATGGAGACTTGGACATTAGAGGGAAGTAGTATGGGCTCAAAATGTGGTCATAAATATTTTGTACTTGTAAATCAGCTTTGTATCTGTGAAAAGATTTGTGTGTGGACTTAGCCCCAAAAAACCCTGCAAGTTACAAGTACGAATTTTGACCCTAGTTTTCTTCCTTTCATCTGATTGGTCAATGTCATGTCAATCACAAATGTAACAATCCAATCAGAGAACAGATGGGTTTGGCCGTCGGAAGGCCGCTTTTTTTGAACTGCAGGTCTTTGAAGGAAATAATTCCCCTTTTACATGCCAACCCAGCGTTTTCCTTCATCACCACGAAGGAAAACAGTCTGTGGTCGTCCGAGTTTGGTGATTTTTGTGTCACAGGTCTACGTGTTTAATACAGGGACTACCACAGCCTTTTCAACAGCGCT